AGTTCCTTAATTTGGAACATCCCCTCTCCCAAATATACCATGTGGTGATAATAATTTGTGGTAGGTAATTTATTTTTCAATAATGAAAAGTTAATTTTAGGTTTTACACAAATTTATAAATTGATATACTCCACTACAGTGAAGAGTTCCAACGTGGATACAGCCAAAATTACTGTTTTTCTATTACGTTAAGCTCATATTCATACAACTATTTACCTGAATTCAGGGCTTCTGGCTTCAATCAACATCCTTCCTTATATCATGTCCCCAACTCTAAAAATAATCTGTTTGGATTTTTCATTTGATTTATAAATTAATAATATTAGTCTTAAATAAAATTTGTATGTGGCTCAATATTACTTGTTGGTTCCAACATAATTTAAAATATCTGTTTTTATTTTATACTGCCTAAAAATATAACCTGTTAGATTTCTGCTTTCATAAAATTAATAATATTTTTAGACCTAAAACTTGGCTATTTAAATTTTTTCCTCAACTATTGGAATATAATANACTGCAAGGCTTTGGAAAACCAGGCCCTGTGAGGTACATATGCTTTATAGTATGTTCCACAGTATCTCAGAAATTGTACAATTATTGCATGTCAATTAAAAAAAATTAATTTAAAGGGCAAAAATAACTGAATCAAAACCCAGTTTTGATTAGCAGTCAAACCCTGAAAATTAATGGAAAGGAAATAAGACCTGAAAATGTAAAAGACTTAGAATTAAGTGATTCAAAATAGTATTTATATTTCATGGGAGCTAAAATATACCTAAGCATGAAACAGAATTCAGAACTCTGAAAAGAGCTGGTGACCAGAGCAATGATGTCACACAGCCTATGACATAAAAGTTAGAGCTAGTCCACTCTGTTAGCTGTGGCATAAGACTATGCTACCAAAAGCGAGCTCTCCAACATTGAGATTTTAATTACTCTTAACAAAGATAATTATATCCCTCTTTCTTGGATTACAGGTATGGGAAATTCCTGACAAAAGATCCTGTTTCGTAAAGGTTTGCTTCTTTGTAGTTGTTTGTTTTACAGTTGACCTTCATCCAGCTCTGGATGGTTTAACTGTAATAAGTATGGTTACAGTTATACTGTTTATTGTTCCCTCCTGGCTCACTGTTCCCCAATTTCAGAGTGTTAAAGTAAGCAAATTACTTATTCCAGACAAAATGGATTTCCTGGAATGATTGAGGATTTAGGAGGAAAAATGCCAGAGCAAGGTCTATTGTCTACTAGAAAAACAGAATGAGGGACAAGAAGCTACTGAAGAAGCTGGTTCCTGGCCTGTGCTGGCCACTACCCATCTCTGAGACTGGACAAGGATTTGGCTGGAAGCTTCTAGAAGCTCCTTAAATCCTGAGATGCCATGACCCAGTTGTTAGTAAGACAATTGAGAAAACTTTTTCCTAAAACATATTACTTACAAAATGGGTTTGCACATTCTCAGTATTGTTAGACAATAACATACTGAAAAAAAGTAATTCCCTGAATTCCATAAAATATTTACAAACCTAATGTTTAGCAAAGGGAGAATTCTGACTCTGTGACAATATATTTCAGGAGGCCCAGGTGTTTGTAAGTAAAACCATGAGCTCCATTGCAGGCCTGTTTGTTATTTACTGCCTGCAAAAGGTAGAGATTCTTCCCACATTGTCTGTCCTGATTTCCTTCTCTCTGGATTTTGCATTTCAGTCCCTTTTCATCCGTGAATAGACCCTTTGACCCACCCTCTGGCCAGCTTAGGATCCTAGGTCTCTCTAGGAACATCCACTCATTGTTTATACACATGAAGATCTGTTTTTGGGGTCCATCCACTGAAGGTAGCATATTGAGGTTGCAAAGTGGCTGTGTGAGGTGGGGAGCCATGTTCACTGCTTGCCTGCACTCTCTGTCTAGGTGTGTCAAAGATGTTTGATCTCCAGACGAAGATTATGATCTGCATTGGTAGTAGCTTACTGATTGCCACGATCGTGCTGATATGTATTGTCATCTGCCTTTACTTCAAAGTATCCGGTGAACTAAAGTGAGTCAGCACCCACTCCAGTGGGATACCTGGGGCCCTCTGCTTGAACAGGGTCATTTCTTGTTGCTGTGGCCACACCCTGTGTGAGGTCACGAACAACAGGCAGTTTTGAAAAAACAAAGGCAGGTTTGTGTCGAATTTTTTTTTCCTTCTGGCTGGGCTCACCTGCAGAATGTTCTCAGCCTGGGGGCTCTGCTCTGTGTGCCACCGCCGTTTTGCTGTCACTTGATCTCACGGAGTTTACATCAGGTATTTAACTCAGCACCTTCGCTGAGTCTCCCTTTATTTTGGGTGCTGTAGACTGTGGAGTGTGCTGTGTGAATGAGCCTCATACTTGGGCAGAAGGCAGGCTGGATCGATCTCCTCTTGCCTGTGTTAGGAGCCCTCAGGGTGATTCCTCATTCATTGCTGGTGTCCATAGAACAGTTAGGTGGGTTTAAAGTATAGGACTTTGGGATGCTGAGCTGTGTGAAGATCCTGGGGACAGCTGACAAGGGAGTGTAGGTCAGACAAGAAATGATTAGAGTTTGGGGAGAGGACCCTGAAAGTGTGGGAGGGATTGGTTGTTAGAAGCAGTTGTGTCCCCATTCTAGGGAGTTGGAAGGCAAATTAACTCCCAGAGCCCAGGGCACAGGCAACTATACACCTTCCCCATCATTCCTGCGTCTCGAGGGCCTGCAGTAACAAGCTGGGTGATCTCTGCTTGCAATTCACTCTACTTTTGTAACCCCATTTTACGTTTATAATATTTGTAGGAGAGGAAGGGATTAGAGAGGAACTTGGGACAGGGGCAGAGAACTTTAATCTAGGGCTGGTGTCACATGTTCCATTGGCTATATCACTAACTATACCTGATACCCCTGACAAGTATAATAACAATTAGAAAAATCCTAAGCCCATGCTTTGTGTATGTCTTTTCTTAAGAGCTGCCAAGAAACCTGATGCTGTGGCTGTAAATAATCGGAGCGAGGTCGCGCGGGACAAGGCCAAAGTCAACCAGTGCAAAGTCATCCCTACTGAGTCTTGCCGTGCCCTCCAGTGCTGTGATCAATGTAGATTATATGGAAATTGTGATTCTCTGCCATCTTGCTGTTGTGACATAAATGAGGGACTCTGACTTGGGAATGATGGGCATGAAAATCTTCATGAGCAATATTTCTGTTAGTAGAATGTTTTATTACTCAAGTCAAATTCTAGAGTGTTTACATTATATAATGCACCATGTTTTATGTACTTTTGAATAAATGTGTAACATTGAAAATAATTTTCTCTGCCTCTGAATATTTTTTTTTTTTTTTTTTTTTTTTGGTTAGTTAAAATATCCCTCATTTAAATATATGTGTTACCCACTGTGGGACTTGGGGCAACTAGCTTGTGATATGAATTGCAATAGAAGAAGGAGATTTAGAGTAGAAAGTAAAAACATCCAGCATATGTCCAGCCCCAGAAGGAAAATGTCCATTGATCTTATGGCATTTCCAACTTCAACCCCAGCTAAACTTGCCAAGCTGTGGCAGTTCATTCAGCTCTTCTTCCAAGGGCTTCCTTCACTTTCATCCAGCTTCTCCACTGCAGACAATTGTGTTATATTGTCCTGAGGGGACTCCATTCATCCAGAGACAGTGAGAAGAGCCAGGCGGGACATCTGTGGATTTGTTACACTTCTCACTGTGTAATGGAGATTAAAAAAGGATTACTCAAAGCACCGTGAATGCATTGAGAAGCCCAAAGTGTCTGCACCCCAGCAACTCCTCTGTTAGAGTACAATTAGTGAAAAGCTAAGTTGGTCAAAGTGGCTCATTATCTAAAGTATAACCTCTCCTTAAGCAAAAGTTACATTCTTATGATAAAATCTAAGTACAATTATCTCTAAAGTTTCCCCCAACAGACAGCTTTCCCCTAGCAAACATTTTTTTCACAACTTTCCCTTCAGCAATTCTTTTTTTTCTTTTTGTCTTTTTCCGTGTCCGGCAACGGATCGCAACCCTCAGTGTCGCCCCCGTACCGGACCGGGACCAGCAACGGGATCGCAACCGGTCTGTATGTGGGATCCGAACCCTCGGCGGGAGCACTGCCGCACTTCCCAAGCGGCGCACTAGCACAGTGCGCCACCGGGCTGGCCCCCCCTTCAGCAATTCTTAAAATCTCTTAACAGGATTGGTATGACAACCACCTGTTAGCTCTAAAATCATTAAAGTATACGATCCCATACCTAAACAGTGATTAGAGTTGATTAGATGGGCTTTTGCCATGCTATCTGTGAGCTGTGGCCCCCTACCTGAGGGCTTTTGCCCTATACATGCATTTACCTAAAAACCGTATTCTAAAGTCAAATGAGAATAAACATTTCTAACCCCCCACATGGATTAAAGTTGTCTGACCTGTGTAAAGATGGGGTTAAGCTCAGTCGCCTCAAAAGGACATTTAGGAAACCTGAGATTCCTCCTGCTGCCATCCCCCAAATCTTCAGAAGCAGGATGACTCCTTCTTGGATCACTTTCACACTGATTTGTGCTGATTCAGCTGTTGATGTCTTCAAGGGTAACAGCAACCTCCAGCCGAAGGCAGAAGGCCAGACTTGCTTGACCACAGAGACAGCAATAGAACATGTCCCTCGCCCCTGCTGCCCACCAGCTCCCTTCTGTTCGAGCTCCTGCCGCTGAGCCTCCTGGAACCCCTTTCTAAGCACAGACTCCGCATGTGTAACCACGTTTGTACTTATCAGCAAAACTCTTGCTTGTGAGCATCACGTATATACTTAATATAAGGAATTCTTCACTAGCAACAGGGAACTACTAAAATGGTGTGGGAAGGGATAGCAGGAATAGCAAATGAGGGCAAGGGCTGCTTGTTCCAGGGATGGGGAGTAAACCATGGGAGATGCCACCTGCTGGCTGAGCCCCCCGTCACCCAGCTGAGGGTTGGGCTGTGGCGGGCACGTTCAGGACGTCAGCGGTGGAAACAAGTGCCAGGGCAACCTCTGCAGGGCAGCCCCAGGTGGCCGAGCGCCTCCCTGGAGGCTGAGCGCCCTCAGTCTCCATGCGTTTGAAGAAGCCCTTTTGCCTAAAATGCAGTCGACTAAGCTGAGATCACACATGAATGCCTCACTCTTACCTGTCTTTGCTCAGATTTCCTCTTCTCAAGATGTCCTCCCTCCCACCCTAATATTGAAACAGAGTAAAGCTGGCCTGTGAACCAAACTGACTGCACTTTCCCTGCAGAGGACACTATGTTGCTTTTCCACTCCTCAGTCATGAGACCCCCAGGGCAAATGATTACCCCGTGGGCTACCCTGACAAAATAGACTGAGATAAGAGAGGAAACAGATATTTATTGAGTTGCAAAACAGTTTAACCTTAAGATCCCTTTAGGAATTCCCACCTTTGCACAAAGCATCAAGGTGACTGCTGCAATGACCCTCCTGGGGTGACAATGATGAATGAACACCACTGCCTACTGAGCATGAACCCATGACACAACCAGGAACAACAGAATGGACCACCTCCAGTGACGCTGGCCTGTACCCCTTAACTCCTTTCCCTATAAAAGATTGAACAGCTCCCCTCGGGGGGCTATCTTTACTGTTGCTACCCCCCTTTATGCATAAGTCTATCTCCTCATTTAATAAAGCGTTGCTTGCTTTACTGTTAGGTACATTATTCATTTCTATGACTTTGGAATCCGAGAGCCTAATTTAATCACTGGCAAAATCGGAAAGCTTTGGGCACCAGAGAGGACTCTAGCTGCAAGAGGCAAGTGGCCACTGGGACTATTTCACTACCATGTCTCTGTTGCTGGTGGATCTCTCCTGGTGTCTCTGGCTTAAATTCTGACAAGGTAATGCTTTATTCTCTTTACCTTTCTCTGATTCTTTGAGCCCTCTTCTGCTATTTGGTTGGATTGTATCCTCTACTATGTAAGTGCACCCCAGAGGGCTCCTGGCTATGCTTTGTTTCTCTGATTTAAATCTAGTGGATACTTTTCTTCTTTATGCTGAAAACAGTGGGGAGAACTGCTTTTATCAATTACTGTTAATGGAATAGTTTGGCCCTGCTGATTGGGACTAGGATAAACTGGACCCCACTGCTCCTCTTTTCTGTTTGTTTGCTTGGTCAAACATTTAGTTGAGTACCGGTTATCTGAATAAACCTTCCAATCCTTGTACCAACTTTTTGGACTTTCAGGTCATTTGTTTAATGCGAGAGGGCAAGCCGAGCCTGGCCTGTTGGTAACGATACTGCATCTCCCCCTCAAGGCAGCCGCTTTCTATCTCCTCACCCTGTTTTATTATATTCACAGCACCTCTCACTATTTGAATTTTTCATTTTTGTTGTCTGTCTCCCCACTTAGAATACGAGTTCCATGACTGTCTTGCATGTTCATTTCTGCATTCCCCAGGCCCTAGAATGGCAAATAAAGACCATTTCATGAATGAATGAATGAATGAATGAATGAATGAATGAATGAATGAATGAAAAGAAAAAGTTCTTCATCTCCACACATCCCTTGTTCTTAATAGTCTCATTTTGGACACCAGGATTCCTTTTTCTCAGCTGCAAAACACAACACCGAGGGACTTTGACACACCTACTTCTGCAGACATAACCAGTTAGAAATCTGCAGAGCAAGTTGGACCTGCACTTTCTTTTTCTTCCCCATCCTCTGCCCCCTTCCCTACTGCAGGATCGTCCCTGGCAGAGCATTTGAGTGACCCAGCTGGACCCGGAGTTTGCCCGGGTGCCACACAATCCCCTCACCCAGCATGCTGATCCTATTGTTACCCGGCGGCAGTTCCAGCTTCTTGGTCTATGCGTGAAAGAAAAATTTTCCGTGCGACCTACGAAAGGGAAGGACAGAGAAACAGAACATAATCAGGTTTTATTACAAAGCAAAGGTACACGCAGAAATAGTGCGCGGGTGTCTCCGAGGAGAAATGCACATGCGCCCCTGGATTCTCAGGGGGAGGGTGTATATGTTGTTCTGGAACAGGAGTGTTTATCTTAACTAAGGGGAGGAATATTTGGCTGTGGAGAAGTATCTAAGGTAAAAAAGCCTAGTAGGCCCATGTGAGGTTGCATAAGCGTCCCGTCATGGTCCCTGAGTTTCTGAAAGTTTTTCGGTATGTGCAATGGACACATTCCCATATCTTGTCCTTTCCGGTTCGGCGTCACAGGTGGAAGGTCGTCTAGGTCATCTGCACTTTTGTTCCTCCTAGTCTGGGTGTTTATAAGCAGCCGCCGGGGGCCTGTCCCTATTCTGTTCGGCCTCACCATGACCCCCAGCGGCTTCCATTCTTGCAGAAGAGCAATGAAGGCTTAAATGTCAGTGATGCTGCCCATTCATGATCAGGATGAACGGGGCAAAGGCACAACTCCAAGTCAGTTCTGTGAGGAATTACTCGGCGCCTACTGTATGCCAGCTGCTGGAGATCCCCCGGGGAGAGCTCTCGCTGGGTACAAGGCTTCCAAGAAAGAGCTGGGGACAGGGAACACTCACTGTTGGGGATTGCTGATAACAAACCACCCACACAGCTGCTGTATTCTCACATTAATCTGCCTCTTGGGAGGCTTGAACTGACACATTTCACTGGAGGTCACCAGGAAGCTTGTGAAACCAGGCAGTCCTCAAACACAGAGAGGTATAAAAGCCTGCTCGCCCCTAAGGCCACCCAGCCTCTTACAAAGATGGAGGTTGTGAGAAGTCTCCTTCCTTTGGCCCTTTTGATTGCAACATGCTTTGCAGAGTTTAATTTAACTGAGGATGAAGACAGGATGAAGATAGGAACCAGATTTTTCAGTCAAAATACTGCCATTCAAAGGTGCCTGGTAGTGATATTAGAAGTTTTGAATCCTTCGCTGGCCTTGATGTGGAAAAAAATTACTCATACGTACCTAGTGGGAGATTAAGTTAGTATCAGATTTATTCAGAGTGATATTATGATATGTATAAAATATAAAAAGCACTTGGAATTTGACCAGGGAATTTTATTTCTAAAAATTTATCTTTAGGAAACAATTATAAAAGTGTCCAAAGATTTATGTACAAGCATGTTCATTAGACCATATTCATAAATGCAAGAAACAACACAAATTTCCATCATTTATTATATAATTTGTGGTAAATTCATACAAAGAACAGTGTGTGGATATTAGTCTTTAAAGAACACTGATCTATAGAAATATGTCCATGATACATGTTAAATAAAAAACTGTCTGAAATATATATAATATGATCACACCTGTATTAGTCCTTTCGTGTTGCTATAACAGAATACCTGAGACTGGGTAATTTATAAAAAGTGGAGATTTATTTGGCTTACGAGTCTGGGACAGCTGCGTCTGGCACGGGCCTCAGGCTGCTTCTGTTCATGGAGGAAAGCGGCAGGTAGCTGGTGAGTACAAGCAGATCACATGGCGAGAGGAAGCAAGAGAGGGAGAGGAGGTGCAGGGTCTCTTTAAACAACCAGCTCTCACGGGAATAGAGCGAGATCTCACGCATTAATCCCCCCTCCCCCCGCCTGGGAGAGCATTAATCCATTCATGAGGGATCCGCCCCCATGACTCAAACAGCTTCCAACACTGCCACATTGGAGATCAGATTTCCACATGAGTTTTGGTGGGGACAACACATCCAAACTCCATCAACACCTATGTTCAAAATACACAAATTTGAGCACTTAAAAACCTTAATCTTTGATTTTCTTTGCTTTCTGATTTTTTATTGTAAACAATAAGAATTACTTTTCTATTTAGGAAATTCTACACCTCTACATCACAAAGATACTCTCCTTCATTTCTTCTATGTGGTGTTAATTGGAGATTATTTTTCTCTCCTAAGTCAATTTCTGCTAAAGTGACTAAATAATTCTCTCTTTCCTCATTGATTTATAGTACTACTTTATTGTATATTATATTCCTGAAATGTCATAGATGTCTGACAGATTCTTTGGTCTATTTACTTGTTTTAATGTTGATACTGCAGGTTATTTTTATTTTATTTTTTTATTTTTTAAAAGATGACCGGTAAGGGGATCTTAACCCTTGACTTGGTGTTGTCAGCACCACGCTCAGCCAGTGAGTGAACCGGCCATCCCTATATAGGATCTGAACCCGGGGCCTTGGTGTTATCAGCACCGCACTCTCCCAAGTGAGCCACGGGCCGGCCCCTGCAGGTTATTTTAAAAAACTATCATCTTAGGGCCGGCCCGGTGGTGCACTGGAGAGTGCGCCGCTTGGGAGCGTGGGGGCGCTCCCACCAAGGGTTCGGATCCCATGTGGAGACCGGTTCCCGCTCACTGGCTGAGCGCAGTGTGGGCGCAACACTGAGGGTTGCGATCCCGTTGCCGGTCCCCAGTATGGGCGTGACACCGAGGGTTGCGATCCCGTTACCGGTCAGTAAAAAAGACAAAAAGGAAAAAAAAAAAAAAAACTATCATCTTATTACAATATTTTGCAGGTCAAGTCCCAGAAGCAATACACAACTTTGTCATTGTAGCAATATGTACAGGATGAGCATGACTGTGTTGCAACAAAACTTTATTTATCAAACGGGTGCTGGACCAACTTTGGCCCACAGTCCATAGATCCAAAATGTGGTCATATGGCCAGAAAATTTCAAATGTACTTTTGTGAGCAATAGAATGGAATAAAGAACCTAAATGCTCTCTCTCGGGTCGGCCCGTGGCTCACTCGGTAGAGTGCGGTGCTGATAACACCAAGGCCACGGGTTCAGATCCCATATAGGGATGGCCGGTTAGCTCACTGGCTGAGCGTGGTGCTGACAACACCAAGTCAAGGGTTGAGATCCCCTTACCGGTCATCTTTTTTTAGAAAAAAATAAATAAATAAAAAAATAAATGCTCTCTCTCTCTCTCTCTCTCTTTCTTTCTCTCTCTCTCTCTCTCTCTCTCTCTCTCTCACACACACACACACACACACATTAATTTTTAGTAAAAAACTAAGAGCCCTTTGGGAAAGGTATCATTTCATCAGCCACAACAGAGAAGAAAGAAAAATAAAAGTTTGTTGGTTTTTTTTACAAGTGGAGTTATTAGTCAGGTTCCATTAAAAAGTATGTACTTGTTCATATTGAATTAAAGCCGATATTTATCACCACCTTTCTTCAGGCCCTAATATACTTTTCCTGTTTATGGACTCTACATAAAAAATCATAAGTGCTCTTTCCCCCAAGGGCTCCAAAAAAGAGACATCAATTCCTGGTGGCTTCTTTTGTGAGGAGTAAAATATAGTTCATCATTAGCTCCAGGGCTATATGGGGGTACCAGGTGGTGGGAGGTGGGAGGTGGAGCCCACTGACTGGGTGAGCTGCCAACTTTCCTTGGCGCCATCTGTGTTGTGTACCAGGCAAATCAAGCTGCCGGGCCAGTCTGGGAGATGCCAATCTGGCAGAGATTCACAAAGCCGTGATCCTGCAACTCAATCACAATGAGAAGTGCACCTAGACAATAGAAAGACCAGAAAATAAAAGCATCAGAATCATCTTTTCCCTCGTCTGGTAAGTCGAGGCTTCAGTTTCCTAATGAGGATGGTTGAACTCTCTAGCCACATGGGTGGTCTCTGTGGAAAGAATTCAGCAGCTGCTAGAACTGGTAGTAATTCCACAATCACCGTGATGATGGTGATGATGGTGGTGGTGATGATGCTAATGGTGGTGCTGATGCTGTAATTATGATGATGGTGGTGGTGGTGATGGCAATGATGGTGTAATGATGACGATGATGATAGCAATGGTGGTGATGATGGTGATGGTGGTGTTGACAATGACGATGGTGATGGTGATGGTGATGGCAATGGTTGATAGTCACTGATGATGACTGTGTGCCAGGCACTAGCTCACAGAGGTACTGCCAGGTCAGTGCTACTATTACAGACAGAGAGAGGTTGAGAACTTGTCTGAGGTCATGCAGCTAGTGAGTGGAATGACGAAGGTTAGTACCCAGAAAATCTAGTTCCAGATTCTGGGCCTTAAAACACTAAACTTGTGGTTCCAAACTTTACAATGCTTTAGAATCTGCACAGAAGCTTCCAAAAACCCATATTCTTAGGCAGTACCCCATACAATTAGATCACAATCTCTGGGAGTAGGACCTAATCATCAGTTTATTTTTTTATTTTAAACTTTTTATTTTGAAATAAACATACATTTACACATATTTTTCATAAGTGCCCAGGCAATCACAGTGTGAAGTGAAGCTGAGAACACAGCTCTGCTCTCTAGGGACCCTCTCAGCGCTTCATGAGATCTGCCCCACTTAATCCTCTCAACAACCCTCTGGGGTAGATGCAATCTAATCCCCATGCAGTGGATAAGAAAGCCCAGAGAAGTCACTGAAGAGGTCCAAGATCACATACTAATAAGAGTGGGAGAGGAACTGAATCTAAGCAGCCTGGCTCCAGAGCCCATATTCTTACCCTTCTCTAGCAATTCTCAAACTTGATTATGCAGCAGAAGCACATGGAGGGCTTGTTCAAGCACAACTGCTGGGCCCCAGAGTCTCTACTATCTCACTTAGAGGAGGGGATGGGGGGGCCTGAGAATCTGCATAGGTAACAAATTCCCAGGTGATGCTGACACTGCTGGTCCAGGTACAACACTTTGAGAACCATGACTGTATACCACTGAAGTTGGAATTGACTTCCCTTTGGCCGTGAAGGAAACAGTAAAGAAGGAGACTTTCAAATTTCCTAGAATTGTACAGTTATTAAGAAACAAATATCAGGGTACTTCAAAACATTTTTGGAAAAATAGAATTAAAAGATAATAGGAATCTTCCCATGAACTTTTTGAAGTATTGTTGTACATTATTCTTG